AAAAAAGTCCATAGAATCTCATTGGTTAAAAAGTTGACAGTTTGACGGCTGATAGATGAACTTGAAAACTTGCATAAATTCAAATTTTATCCGTCTGATTTCTTATTGATGATAAAAATGAGCCAATCAGCGCGCGAGAAATTAGACAGTTATTGTGAAAATCGTTTTCGAGTGTTAAACCATGGATTATCCCACGAGTCAATTGCATTTTCTCGGTATACTCATGAACCAAGAAAATACAAGTGACAAGTGGGATGTTCCGTGGTAAACCACGGGAAAGTGTTGCATAACTATTTTATACCATGCCATAGCAAATACAGTGGGCAGTACAATCAATGCGACGTACGCACGACATACGATGGGAAGGCTGGACTTGATACCGGAGAATCTTTGTTTATAATATTTGCCTCATTACCATAAGCGATACAGTTTCTGATGGAGCTACAAAGAGATTAATATTGAATATTGAAAGGGCACAGCACCATTAACTGTCCCAAGGAATTTGAGCGCGATGTATTGAATACTTTTTGTGCGACGAGGGTTTAAAAGCTCAAAATTTTACAAAGAATGTATGAGCTCATTAGCGCTTTTGCCACACAGAAATTTTGATGTTTTTGAAAGCCAATTTCTCCTCGAATATTACACCCAAAGAAACAAAAATTTCGCCACTTACTAAGTTTCACAAGCTCTTTAAGTTTTTCTGGTAAAATCGTATCTAGCATGATGCCTTGTATGCACAAAGTCGTATGTTAATGAGGAAAAATGTAAACAATGACGTCAGCAAAGATTCGCTTATATACAGCGGCTTCCCTGTATTTTGATTGGCTGTATTTTCTACAGCATGGTATTAAATCTTGTATATAGTTTTCTTCAAAGTACATACAGACGCATCTGAATAAAGGAAACCCGTAAGGATTGCACAAAAACAGAAAGTAATATCATAATTATTATTTTTCCCAGCCTAGCTTTGTCACTATCCTTTAAATCAAGGTGGCAGCATAAGGCCAGCAAAGAAATAAACAGCTCTCGTCTAAATTCCCTAACACCACCTAACCTGTGTGAGACAACAACAGGTAACATGAAACAGTATTTGCTATCGTGTGCTAACTGGAGGCCTTGCGGCCATCAAAGAAATAAAACGATACTCTCTTGACTATTTTACATGCCAGCCATGTAGAAAATTTATGCGTCCTGAGGCTAAGATGTAATTTTTTGTTTCCTGCAGGAAAACGGCCATTGTCGGATAATAAAGTATGTGCAAGAAAAAAGGCTCAGCTTTCTCAGGGTTGGTTGAATGAGCTAGCACACAGGCATGCGTGAAAATACTCGCGCGTATCCTCGCGGGTCGAATCTTCTCTTGTGAGGTGATTTTTGCCTGGGGGTCACTCCCATATACATAAAGGACAGGGATGCTTGTCGTAAGTTTTGAAAATAATCCCTAAGAGGCACCAAGATCCTATTTTGTGGGCGAGGCTTGAAATTTTTTCACCCCTTAGAGGACCCAATTCTAAAACAACACATTATCTCCTGTCATATCTTTGTTGGCTCAATGCTCTAAAAGGTGCCAAAAAAAGCTCCTGGTGTGAACCTTTTAAGGCTGGACACCGTATGAGGTACCAAAACTGTGTTTTTAACCCCTAAAAGGTATGACAAGCAACCATGTCCTTTTTATGTGGGGGTCCCCCTGGGAATTTTTGTGCCCTCAACTAACACTGAGAAAAGTCAGCCATAGTTTAATAAAAAGTCAAGTAACTCACCCTCCAGTGACATTTGTATTGTTGATTTGCATAGTTTGACATGGCATTTGACCCAGTGTTTGACCCAGTGTTTGACTCAGTGTTTCACAAAGAGTTTGAGGTATTCTCCTAAAAGAGTTAGCAACATCGCCATTATCAAAGGCAACCAGAAAAGTAATAGTGATGGCACACATAACCAGAAGACAAATGAGCAGTGTGCACCGCAGTGAAGTAGATGTCCCTGCCATAACTGAACATCACCAGTACAGTCCACAAGAGATGACAACGAACTTGTGTGTAGAAGAACAAGACCTATTGTAACAATTTCTCTGGCTTTTAGAATAACAGCTCTGCTGTAGTCATCTTGTTCCACAGCAATTAATTTATCCCTTTCGAGGAGCCGAAAAATCTGTGTAAAATCAAGAATTTAAAACATTAACTTTATATGTTCAGGTGTTTCATTAACATTTTCAGCAGGAGGGTAACCAGTTTTCACAGGCGGGTAAAATTTTTTGAACTGAAATTCTTTTTAAGTAAAACTTTCCCCTTGATGCTCTAACCAGGTGGACCAAATTAACCTCACAACCAGTTAATTTACCTGGTGCCCCACTCTTAATGAGAGCCCTCCCTGTATATTGTGTACTTGTAATGAAGAGTAGCTGGTTTACGGGTAATAGGAGTAATGTTAACATATCTTGCAAATATGAATCATCTTAACAATTTTTTTTACCACAAAATGGCTGCGTTGTGTGTTTGTAACAAAGAGTAGCATGAATGAAAGCGCCCTTGCTGTTGCATGTAAAATTCAATTGAAAAACTGACACTACCAGTTGAAAAATACCAGAGAAAGATCAAACACGTGTCAAAGTTGGTAGACATCATGTCCATACTATTCCAGAACTAATAAAAATTATAGATAAGGGTTTCAGTTTGAGGTATTCTCTGTTTTTTATGTTAGTGAGTTTGCACTGGTCAAGAAATGTACATGTAAAGAATCTTTCTCAAGACTTGTGAATTAGTTTGATTCCTTTCCAAAGCCTTTCTGAAATTTGAGTTGCCAAACTCGGGGGGTGACTTATCTGCGAGTGCAGCTTATCTGGTGGCGTTTACAGTCACCATACTACATGTACTTTGTCAATGTGGTATTTCCATGTAAGTTCATCATCAATGTATAAGCCTAGGAATTTTGTACACTTAACTTGTGCAATTTCTGTTCATTTATTTTTATTGAAACCTTCTGATTTGTTTTTGATTTGATGTTTTCCCTTGAGACTTAAAACTATGAACTGTGTTTTCTAATATTCAAAGAGAGCTTATTTAGAGAAAACCAAGATGCAATGTTTTTAAGCTCATGATTCATGGTCTTGTTTAGAGTATCTATATTATTATGACTAAAAAACAGATTTGTTTCATCAGCAAATAGAATAATTGATAAAATTTCTAGGCAGCTTGAAATGTCATTCATATATATTATTAATTAAGAAAAAGAAGGGGTCCCAGTACAGACCCCACGGGTACATCACATTTGATTGCAAAGCTAATAATATAATAATTATTATATAACTATATAGCGACAATAAAAGAAACTTCCTAGAAAAGCACAGGGATATTTTCATTATTTCCAAGGCTGGTAAATGAAACTGAACATGAGTTCATATCACCCATTTGATAATTCACATTCATACTTCTTTGAGGTCTGGTTCCAACTTCCAACTGCTGAACCTAGCCTTATGCTCAATTGAGTTGAATGAAATAATTAAGTTGGCTGGTTGATTGAGGTGTCAACCCAACCGTGAACTTAATTACTAATTTGATACAATAATTGTGTAATCATTGTAATCAAAGATTTTGTCTCAAATTAGCAATTAAGTTCCACACCATTAGGTTTGACGTCTGAATCAACTGGCAACCGGCTGTTGACCTTCAGGGGTGCCTTCCAGAAAAATCTTTCTGTGCGCACTGCTTTAAAGAAACCCATCAGATGGTAAACTAATATTATTGTAAAGCTAATAAACTGCAGAATACAAAAATAACAATATATTTTAACTGCCATTTTTGTTTTGTTAGGCACATACAAGCCTTGAAATGCACAAACGACCTTACTTGCACAACTGAAATACCAGCCTTTGTGTTACCACGAACATCCAAACTGACTGGACCATATCACTCAGGTGATGAAGGGCTAAGCATGTAAGGCTTTTTCAATATTTCTATTGGTTACTTAGAAAATCCCTTTTGAAGTTGGACAATAGCAAATTTTCTGATTGCTGTTACTAGCTGGGACATCACAAGAAAAACTTTTTGCCTCACACACGTTGGTGCACTAACATCTGAAGAAAATTTTGGCCCAATTTTGTTAAAATCTGATTAATCTACATACCCGATTAATTCATTTGAATAGAGGTAATTCACACGAAAATAAACCTCAAAATTTTCGGCCTCCAAAGAAATTCACAGTTTTGGCGCCTCACTAAAGTGGTTGTCAATGCAGCCATTCCACCAACCAGTGAAACAAGACTTAGAACTCCCTAGCAAGTCTTGTGACAAAGAAGGCCACAGGAACACTTCCGGAGAAAGGTGCATAATTTATATTTACAAATGTGTGATTCATCAGCCTACACATGTATTTTCAACAAGTAAAGTTTGACATTTAAGCCGGCCGTGAAGGCATATTAATAGAAATTACTACATTACCATGGAGACATGAAAGTTAAATGTTCTGCTCTATAGAAATAAGCTGTATACGACGTGTGGGCCTATTGTGTACACAATTGCTTTAACAATGAAAGCCAAGCAATCAGCGAGATTCAATCAAGTTTGAGTGAAGCATTAATTACCTTAACTTTCAGTGGCGACCGATAAAATATTAATTGTATTTCACTATTGTGCACAGAAGTAATCTACATTTCTGAGCAAAATTCGGTTTAATTCGCCAAACTCTGCAATAAAATATTTGCGAGTTCGAACGAGATTTGAATCCGAAAAAAATTCTCAAATTCTCAAATTTTTCCATCGGCAGCCAAGGAAATCTGCATACGCATGTATAATTTTCGTCCTTTCATACGTGTCACGGTGCTTGTTTGGGAAAGCAATCACTTGCTCGAATCGAACATACCCAAAATAAAGGTATATTTCGCCGGGATATTTTAACATCTAAAGCAATACACAGCAACGCAATGGCTATTCGCTATTGAACACGAGCAATAAGCTTACCACTAGCATTATCGAACATCGAACCTTAAATGAACTACTTTAGGCATACATATCTTTATCGATCCAGGGTCATGCTGAAACAGCAACAGTTTTTTTGCACCTGACTATTTAAAATAACCAATGAGCTGTGATCCCTTACAAAAAGCAAGTTGGTTGTTGTAAAGGTCGCCATAAAATCGTACCAGGCCAGTCACCAGCCGGAGTGTCACTATCATAATATGTAATCCAATATGTAGAACTACTACAAGAACTAAATCAAACACGAATACTTACAAAATCCTCGTCAATACCATTTACCGCTTTTAAGCAGTTGCAAGCAAGCTTTTTCCTCAAGATTTCCTCTGAAATCCACAGCACACTCGATTCAACGCAAATAGTTCTGGAAAAAATGTTGTGCGTCATGGGTAAACAATTTAAATATGCCCAGCTTGCCCGGGGGGTGACGTCGGGGAAACTTGTTTCGCTAACTTGCGTCTCAAACTCACGATTATATACACTCGGTGCTTATGTCCTTATATGCGGTGCTGTCTTCATTATATTCGGTGCTTCCCTCGTTATATTCGGTGCTTTCTTCGTTATATT